AAAGAAAGAAAAAGCTCTTATCAAAGATGAAGACGAAGAGGTTCTTCATCACAGAGATTTTCATCTCAAACGAATTCTTCTTCCTTTGACACTCACAACGCTGTGAAATATTAGAACTGAGACTCGTACGGCACGTAATGCATTTAGAGCAGCAGGAAACTAATTCAGACTGATATATATATATAAATATATATATATATATATATATTTATATACTGTATATATATATATATAGTATATATTTATATATATATATATATAATCAAACATAAATTTTCTATTTATCCATTTGTACCATCTATATATATACAGTATATATTTATATATATACAGTATATATTTATATATATATACTTTATTTTTTCTAGAGTTTCTGAAGTCTTTGTGTTTCGTCAGTTTCATTAGTTTCATTTTAGTTCATATGAAGACTGACCAGTACATTACTGATAAACCATCGTGTCTGTTTTTAAACTTTTCCCCGCCGTACTGTGTACTATGTGTACTATGTGTACTATGTGTACCATGTCAGCAGAACAGAACGTCGCTCTTCGAGGAGGTTTATTGAATTTTGTCACTTCCAAAAATCATCTTTTTTATCCAAAAGGACATTTTTTTCCAAAGTCTAAAATCCACTGAGTGGTGATTTTTTTTTTTTTTTTTTACCTTCATCATCGGACATTTTCTCTGACTGCAGTCAGGTGAACTTTAACCTAATGAATCATTTTGTCTATACCTGGTACGTGTGTGTGTTCCTGGTGTGTGTGTGTGTGTACATTCAGTAGCTCATCATCATAGTGATGCACAGTTGGCGGCGGCAGATGCAGACTTTTTTTAACTCTTCATCAGCTCAAATTAGCTTAAAAATTAGCAGCTTAATGTTGGCGGTAAGAATAGATTAATTGTCTTCATATCAGATCTTTTTTTGTTGTTGTTTACATGAACGTGGAGATAACTCCCTCTCCTCCTCCTCCTCCTCCTCCTCCTGTCTGGCGGTGCACATCACTAAACTGTGACTGTAGTCTGTGAGCCAGATGACAGCTGAACGGAGAACCGTAAGTCTGAGCCTGGCCACTGATTTACTGCCGGCAACAGATCCCGCGCCGCACAGCTATGCAGACAAGCATCAGTGAGAGTGTGTTTGTGACAGAGCATGTGTTCACATCCCACACACCAGCAGTCACGTACGGACATCACATGGAAATGGATTCAGGAAAAAGCAGCGAAACAAAAAAAAAAGGGTTTTGTCCCGAGTCGTTTTTGGTGTTTTTCTCTACGTTGATAAAAAAAAAATTACATCAGGGAATCAAAGTCCTGCTGTTAAAACTCCCCTCCATATGTTTTTGTTTTTTTTTTCCTTGTCAGTCTATTGTCCCCTCTTCTGTCTCTCTGTCCGTCTCTGTCCCTCAACGCTTCTGCTGATCTGCTCTGTTTGAGCTCCTGAGGTCATGAAGGTTGGACACGGCCAAAGCCCCCGCCTGGTTGAAGTGCTGACTGAGGGGATACGGGGGCTTGACTTTGGAAGCCCTGCCTGGTTTGTCTGCTCTGTTTGCCCATTTCTCTGGCCACACTATAATAAGATCACTGGGCTCTGTAAGACGGATTTACTGGAGCACAACTCCCCCGAGGGCCTTTCT